ACTACTACTACTACTACTACTACTACTACTACTACTACTACTACTACTACTACAACTACCATCACAGTCTACTACTTATACTTCTACAGATAAGATAGTACTTTATTATCCCAGAGGGACATTTTTCTTGGCTGTACAAGACCGTAAAAACACTTGCACGTATACATACAAAATTTAAATTATATATATATATATTACTCTCATTAAAATCCAATATGAAAGGAGAAGTAAAGCTGACAAAATGTACATTTACATCAAATGCGTCATTCAACCACGTGCAGCAATGTAAATACTAGACCTTTGGAAATATTATATAGATACATACTCTATGAGCAACACACATCTATACTCATTCTGACAAAAGCCTTAAGCTAGATGGTAAAAAGCTTCTTTTATATCTTTGTCTCTTTGTTTTTGGAGGTACATATCTGCCGCTACGTGATCTTACAATTTGTGTGGAAAAGGTGTGTGACGGGTTGTTTATAATGCTTTTATCTTGTTTATACGTGTGGTGTTATACATTTCATCCATTCTATTAAAATCACATCCAGAGATTTTGCTAGCTTTCTTAATGGTTCTGTCAAATGTTTCTTTATCTTTCACCTTACAATTCCCACCCCAGCAGCAAATACAAAATAATAGCACACTTTCAATCATAGAAGGATAAAAAAGGGATATAATCTGATTGTCAACACGGAAACTTCCTATTTTCCCTAAAAGAAACATTCTTTGATTTACTTTTTTTATGCACAAGAGTAGCGTTGGGATGCCAGTCAAGTTTGTTGTCGATTGTTACACCAAGATACTTGTAAGAACTTACCACCTCCACCTCTTCATTTTTAATAAACAGTGGTTGCAATTGGTCTTTTTTTTACTCTAAAGTCTATTATTAATTCCATTGTCTTTTTTACATTTAGTCAAAGGAAGTGGTTATCAAACCAATTTGTAAATAGATTCACACCGTCCCTTTATTCATTCTCATTTGTTGTTATAAGGCCTTATAGAGTGGAATCATCCGCAAATGTTATTAGTTTGATGATTTTGTTATCAAAAGTACTGTCGTTGGTGTAGAGCGTAAACAAGACAGGAGAGATTACACAGCCTTGGGGCGCACCGGTGTTCGTGAATATTAGGTCGGATTTTACACCATATAATTTTACATACTGAGGTCGATTGGTTAAGAACTCAAGAATCCAAGCTGTAGTGTTCTTGTTTAAGTTCATGTTAATTAATTTTGAAACCATTATGTGCGGTTGGATTGTGTTGCATGCGGATGAAAAATCTGCAAAAAGTATCTTGCAGTACTTTCTTGCAGATGTTATCTAAGAACACGAGAATGGCATCCTCCTTGCCCCATCATAATGATGATGATTAAGATGATGACGACTCACCTCCACGTCTAAGAATTCCCTGTTCAAAGCCAGAACTTGGAGCCAGACAAACAGACAGACAGACAAACAAACAGACAGGCAGACAGACAGACAGACAGACCGTCACTCACCTCAGGGTCTGGAAAGTCCCTGTTACAGGCCAGTCCTCTAAGCCAGGAGTTTGGCAGACAACAGAAGATACGGCTGAATACAGGGATCTGGTACTTGGCCGGTATATCGTGGGTGGAGTTGGCTCCTGGTATATTGAAAGGAGAGTGTGGTGTTGAGGAAGAGGTGGTATATAGAAAGGGAGGTTGTTGGGGGGAGGTGGAGGGGTAAGGGGGAGATTTTGTTAAGTTCGAATTTTGGGAAGA